TGAAGCTGGGCTCTAACTGGTCTGAAACTGGGCTCTAACTGGTCTGAAGCTGGGCTCTAACTGGTCTGAAGCTGGGCTCTAACTGGTCTGAAGCTGGGCTCTAACTGGTCTGAAGATGGGCTCTAACTGGTCTCAAACTGGGCTCTAACTGGTCTCAAACTGGGCTCTAACTGGTCTCAAACTGGGCTCTAACTGACCTTCCATTGCAGTTCTGTGAAAACTACCACAAACCACATCATCCTAGAAGCAAAACTGTCAACAAAACCAGGAAGTTTCTCTTTTTAATTCAATCTTGTTTGTTTTTATAGATCATTTCAGCAACAAGGCATTTCAAAGTGCTTTACATCATAAGTTAATTTATTTCAATTTGTGCCATTTTCTGGTTAACACAGCTAGATGATGCTAGATGATGCAAGTGAGTTTTCATAGTTACTTTATTGAACTATAACATGGCACATGTGCCAGGAAAATTCATAATTTGGTTGTTTTTAACAGAAGAGAGAGAAATGAGACCCAAACTGGTCCCAGTCAAGGTCAGCAGCAGCAGCAGGAGTGGATTTCAGCAGAGGAGCGGGAACACCAGGAAAACTGGGCACCAGGGCTGATCATGAGGCTGAACGCAGCTGGGTTCAAAACTAAAACCCAACAACCAACAGCTGAGGCCACATGTTTACATACGCTCCAGAACTTCACACACACACCCAACAAAAACACACATTTTACTCTCAGTGTCTGAAGTTAAATCAGAGCAAATTTCTCCTGTTTAAGGTCAGAATCACCAAAATTATTTCTATTTGATAAAAGCCAGAAAACCTAATGAGAACATGGCTTTTCCTAGATGATTTTTGTAACTTTCTTCTAACTGGAGCAGGTGAGTCCGAGTCATCATCCACAGTGAAACATGAGCTGAAAGGTCACTCAGCCAGGAGGAAGTCATTACTCCAACACAAACAGAAAAACCTTTCAAATGTCCACAGGAACAAAGATCTTCATTTCTACAGACATGAGGTCTGATCAGACTAAAGTGGAACGTTTGGACATAACCACCACCGTTACATCCAGAGGAAAAACAGGAACCACATCCATACTGTGAAGTACGGCGGTGGCAGCATCATGTTAAGCTGCAGGAGGAACCGATGCCCTCCTGATTTTTCCATCAGAGTCCAGAGTCCAGGAAGAAAACCTGAGCCGGCTCAGCCGGTTCTGTCAGGTGAAACGGGTCAAATTTACAGCAGCGCCACGAGTTTCCTACTCCAGCTGTGCAGCTTAAAGGACAATTCCACAAAATACTTCTGATTCTAAAGAAAATAAAGCAAATAGAAACTGACCTGAAACAGAAAGAGTTTTGTTTGGTTTAACGTCAGTTTGTGGAAAAGGGTGAATGTAAATATGTGGTTTCATCTGTAGATTGGTTCTGGACTCCAGAGTACAGCCTGATGTTTCTGCAGACAGATCTAGAAATAAAGATGGAGGCGTCCGCAGCACACCGTTAGCATGATGTTCCCGGTAAAAGAAGAACTGTGTGAATGAAAGTAGATTGATGAGAACCCTCCGGCTCACAGCGACTTCTGATCTTTCTAAGCTAACCCAGTTTTCCTCTGCATACAACCCAACCAGTTTATGTGTCATCTGACCAACCTGATGTACAAAGTAGGACAGCGAGCGCCTGCTGCTTCAACCAGCAGCCAGTCTGAATGGAGGGGAACATTATTACACACACATATAATCACTTTCTAATTTTACTGAAGGATTAAACACATGGTACTGATTTAAAGCAACTTCACAAAAAAGTGAATCAACTTTGATAAATGATATAGCTATAAGGAAAATTTACACTAAAAGTAATTTACAGATCAAATATTTTGAATAATTATTTGAAAATCTACTAAGTTGTGCTAAATCAAAAACTAATATCACAATGCATGAAGATCAGGGAAATATGGTTCAGATTTAAAACACGATCGATGAAACGTGTTGAAAATTAAATATTTACTGTGTCAGCATATGATTGGTTCACTCATTAAGTTGGAATAAATGTTGAAATAAATCAACAAAAAGTCTATTTTCTGTTCTTCCCTTCCAGAAAACTCCTCAGCTCACAGAAACACTGAACAGACTGCAGACCCCTGAGTGACGGCTCATTATAAACTTCAAAAACTGTCCAGTCATCTGAAAAAAAAGTCAAACCAAACTTTTATTCAAATGTATTTATGTTTTATCTGCATTGCAAATGACTATTATGTTTGTTTCCAGGTTAAGTTATGACTAATAATGCAAATATAAAATTAGAAATACTATCAGACCAGAGCTTGATAGACTGAAGGACTGAGAGCCTAACCAGGTGGTCAGCAGGTCAAGATTTCTCTTCCCAACACAATAACTCAACGACTGAGTGTCTTCATAACCAAATCAGAAGAAGATTATATAACGCACCAATCAACTGCTTTAATGTTGATCCAGAACATCCGGGTTGGACTGCTGAGCCTCTAGTCTTTAAACTTGGTCTGAGTTCAGGACTGCTACACCAAAAACCTGTTTTCACTGGTGACACACTGACTGGACCCAAAGTATCAAGGAACCTCCATGACTTCCCATTTCAATACACAGCATTCTAATTATGAGACGAATGAGTCTAATTATGATCTACTACTTTTGGTATGCTCATATGGCTGTGAGCATATGGACTTCCCCTAAATGTTCCCTTTTCTGCAGTCAGAGAAATGATTAAACAGTTTAAAACTGAAACCGAGACAACACAAAACGGGGACTAAAGTTCACATGGCTGCCCCACACAGGGAACAAGATGGTAAAAACATCTTTTAGAAAATATTTTTCACCATAAGATTAAACCACTACAATAAAAAATGAAACTACTGTAAGTTTAAATATACAGATCCATTTAATTTTATTTCACCTTTTGCAATGAAGCCAAAAGTCAAAATTAAGGTTATCTGAATTCATCTTCTGAAAAACAGACAATGAACAAAAATGGAAACCAGATATTTGTGAAACATTTAAAAAGCTCACCGAACAAAGAGAATCTGCAGGGCCGCTTCATCAGCTCGCTGTTAGCTGCCCTGCCTGCTTTTTGTAGCTTTATTAGCCATCAGGTTGCCGTTAAACGCTCGTTTAAAGCTTAGTATTAATTGTTAGGCTAATGCTAGTTTAAAACGAGACTTTCCAGGCTGCCCCAGCTCTTTGGGTACCGTTACTCAAACAGATGGGACTCACTGGACCTCAACCACCAACAGCTGAAGCTCAAATCGGAGGCATTTCTTCCAGAGCAGCGGAGGAAGCTAAAGGAAGAGACGCCATGTTGGATCAGACGGTTGAGCTCCCAGTATCAGGCCGCAGGACCTTCACTGGTTCCACAGTCAGAGGTGATCAGTGGTAAGATGTGGAATCAACATTATTACTAAATATCACAGTTTAGCAGCTCGTTAGCTGCTCTGTAACGGCTAGCGTCGCTCTTAAGAAGCCCAGCTAGCTGCTAGCATCTTAACAGTATGAAGTAACACTCACCATGGCAAAGACCACATTTTATTTATCATGGAGCCGTTTGGTACCGAAGTGCTACACCTCCAGACTTTTCTAGGCTTTGGTCTGCTGGTCGGTGAGGTAGGATGTTAAAGGACATCAACAGCTTCTCCTTCTTTCCTGCTATGCCCAGAGTACTTGTACTCAAATAAGATTATTACTTAATCATATTTTTAGTCAAGTAAAAAGTAGCCATCCAAGAAATTACTCGAGTAAAAACGGATTTGGTAATAAGTTTACTCAAGTACCGAGTAACAGATTATATAATAATTATTTTAAAATTACATCAGTTGGACAGAAATATAAAGTTAAGTGAAAATGTTGGCATTTTAAGGACAAAAGTTAGAATAACTCATAACAAAAATTAACAAAATCAGGCAAAATAAAATATTTCCAAATCTTTCTTTCAATGTAAAACTTATGAAAGTAACAAACTGCAGGTGTGTGTCTGTGTCGGGTAAATCTTTGGATAAAACATGTTTGTTTTTCATTCAGTTGATTAGGAAGAAAATCCAGAAGTCTTATTCAAGTAAGAGTAGCGATAATGAAAATTAATCAAGGAAAAAGTACAGTGTAGTTAAAAATATTCCTAAAAGTTTTTTTTTCTTTTAAAGTTACTCAAGTAAATGTAATCGAGTAAATGCAACTACCAGCTGCGATCATGGCAGATCGTAAGCAGCCCCTGGTGCGTACCGCCACACGTCACACTGTCGGCCGGCCGCTCGCTCTGAGCCTAACCAACTACTGGCCACGTCCAGTACGAATGTAAAACACAGTCTCTGCTTTACTTCCTCTGCTCCATCTGAAATGGCGACACTTTCACACGTTAAGATAACACGACTGAAACTTTTTCCTTCAAACACACACTTTCAGATTTATTTGATCAAAAAGGTGAAAGGTCATACAGGTTCATTTCCTTATGTAACAACCTATTTGCTGCTAGAGGCAATCCTGATTTAATAAAATGAATCAAGCAATTAGGAAACCATCCCAGATATCACCCTTAGATCTGCATAGCCAACCAGCTTCTTCACACGGCAGCGGGACATGTGAAACATTTTTTAAAAATTATAAAAATTATAATTCTACTGATCCCATCTGTTACAGACTTTATTTCCTGTTTTTACACCAGACAAAAACATGATATATGACTTTGTTTTTACTGACTCTTACATGGCATCTCCTGTTTTTTCTGATTCCATGGTTTCCTTGCTGCGTCTCGCCGCCCCATCAGCACAGAGGCGGGCCGACCCTCCAGCTGGAACACAGCAGCTTTAATATCCCTGCTGGTAAACACTGGTTATCTCAAGCACACATTGAACTGAGGTACGCATAGCAGAGAACTTCTGAAACAGGAGTAAAGGGATAAATGGACTTGGAGAGATGGCTGTGAACATTTTCCTTTTGAAGTGAAACATTCCTGTGTGCTTGTGGCTGTGCTCCCTCCGCCGGGCTTCCTCTCAGTTCCATGTGGTATTTGTCCCCAGCTATGATCCACAGTGGGAGCGCAAGCTGCAAACTTTCCCAAGGATACCATGCAGCCACATGCCAGTGCTGCCCTTTGTCAGCCCCCACCAGCGGGGGCGCTGTCTCTAAGCACCGAGCTGAACTCAGAGCGCCTGAAGGCATCACTCCAGGTGGACAGGTGGGACTGTCGTTACCCTTCTCCTCATGCTGGTCTCCGTTGGACACTGAAAAGTTTTGGTGACACACCGATTGCACAGTCAGACTGAAATCAGCCAGTTTCTCCTGATTGGCTCTGACCAGCGATCATTAAACGCATCACATCTCAAACTATCGTTTCTGCTCTTCAAAAGCAGAAAAACAGGAACATGTTCTGTTGCACTTTGTTTTGAAATAAGTAAAAGTCAGACGAAGGCCAGTGACTTTCTTCCACCATAAACATTTATTGCCTCTAATTTTGACGTCCAACAATGTCTTAACGGATGGCATCGTATCTGTAATGGGGATTATGACCGGTGCTCCTCTGGGTCATTCGCTGGAGATGAGAACTTTGTAACTGATTGCGTTTTGAGCTCAGATGAGAGAGAGCAGAGCTGCTGAAAGCTACAAATAAAAGCCCTGCCTGTGTTCTCATTGGCCAATTTCAAAGCATTAATTTTCATTTCTTTCCTGGTTGGTTGTATGATCGCAGCTTTAAACCACTGTTTAATTTAAGTAAATCATATGAGTGTTTTTTCACTACAAGCTCTGGAAGAAATAATTGGCCGTTGATCCAAACAGACCAATTTTCCCTTATTTGGATCGGAACAACTAAAGGAATCATTTGTTCCTCTTTAAACGCATCTAAGCTGAAAAATCCCATGTTTGTGTCTCTAAGCAGCGTAATTTGACATGTCAGCGATGCTCGCTTTTATCCATACATGGGAAAATGTTCAACCTTTTTTCTGCTGGTTTTAAAACTACAACCTCTACCAAGGAACTTAAATATTTGCTTTTATAATATAGTCAGTATTTCTTAACATTAATTGAATTAAAAAGAAATGCCAATGAGTTAGTTTGTAACACAGATCTTAGAAAGTGTGTGTGTGTGTGTGTGTGTGTGTGTGTGTATTCTGCTACCATCCTGCAAACTACTTTTCATACAATTCTGTTCTTTCATTAAAACATTTGGAAAAAGAGGAAAATACTTGACATGTTCTGATATTATTGTGTAACTTTTTCCCCTTTTCCTTCTTCTGGGATCCGTTCCCCTCCTAAACTCCTCTGAGTCGCTAATCAGGCACTAAAACACTCCGAGTGTTTCAGGACTTTGTGTTAAGGACCTTCCAGGAACAGTGAGCCGTCTGCAGCTCTTCTGCATCTTGAAGCCCAATAAACAATCTGGACGTCTCTGCACCTCCACATATGGCATCACAACTGGAGCTGCTCTGTGTGTGTGTGTGTGTGTGTGTGTCTGTCCTCTACATCATGGGTCTCCAGTTGTGTGGGTAACCCGACGCTTTGGCCAGTTGCTGCAGATGGTGAGAGCAGAGCAGGGCGGCTCAGCAGAGGAAGTGTTGCTGTCACCAGCTGGCTCAGGCGGAGCAGTCGGTAAGACGAGCGCAGCAACAGGAACGCGTGGGTGACATGTGGGCTGCAGAGGCCCCTGAAGTCTGCCAGGGCAACTGTTGGGACGATGCGCTGAGACTGCTTGCATGTTGCTTCTAGGTATTCACAGCTGCATGGCTGTGCGTGTGAGACGGAGGTTTGATGGTGGCTCACGCAGTCAGAGCTTCATCTGGTTTGACCTGCAGCTCTCATTTCAATCTGGTCTGAATATTCCCAATGTCCATGAACTGAACCTGCAGACACCCGAGTTTAGCACCCAGCCAATCCATAAAAACACATTACTTCTGATTTTGCTCATGCTTCTACTGTCTGACTCAGATGTGAAGCAATCTGGATGTGTAGGTGCTTTAGCTGAGCGAATGTTTGGTCCCCGAGGGATTCAGACCTGAAGTCAGTTAGGAGGATGCAGCCAGAGACCTTGCCTACCAGTAAAACTAAAACAAGAACACATTTCCTGTAACATACGTTCATTCTCCTCCCATTTCTAGTATTCATGAGCGCCTGTGCTTCTGTCTGTGCAATAAATATCTCTGCATGGCCTCCTGGTGTTACTGGGTTCACACGTTCGCTCCTCTGCCTGGAAGGTTTCTGTAACATGCAGTAAAACCATGAAAACACCTGGCTGCACCTGATCAGGGGTTCGGCTCAGAGTTCAGGGACAGTTTAGGGATTTTGCTGCAAGCTGCAGAAGATATGACACACTTCATTTTCCAGCAGCTTTTTTTCCCAAACAAGTGCTTCTGTTTCCACATAAATCTTTCCATATTTACATCAACATTTATAAAAAGTCCGAGGCCAACATTCCCATCCTCTCATCATGTCATCCCACCCTTTCCTAAAAGCAGTCATTGTTAGATCAAACCATCATTATGTCCCATAAACAAAGGAGATTGTCCTTTACAACAAAAAACCTGACATCATCTCTTTTTCAACGTCTTTTTGGGTTTAAATTTAGCCGCAGCGCTGCCACCCTCCAAGCTTAAGATAACGGAGGCCTTGTTGGAGACGGCAGGTTGTGTGGCAGAGGAACAATCAGAGCTCCTGGAGAAAGGATGAAGGCTGGGAGTTGAGCCGTCCTCATCACCCCCACCGCGGCAGTCGTCTCCAGTCGTCCGGTGCAGTAGGACCCAGCAACCAAAATAGTCACAGCCTCTTCCTGCCTCTGTCCTGGCCTTGCAATATGTCTTTCTCCTTATCAAAAGGGAACGTCGGTACATTCCTACGTCTGAAAAGAAGGATAACTTACAAGTTCAGCTGACCGAGGATTCGTTCTGCAGAGAGACGATACACACCAACACCAGGGCCTAAACATTCTAGGAAAACATGAAACTGATGAAGCTGCTGAATACTGCCATGAATATTTCTCAAACCTCATTATGACCAATATGCATAATTCTAGACTTCAACACAGAGAGACAACTCGGAGCAAATCAACCCCCTGCAGTTCAGCTCATGATTTTCTAATATTCTTTAGAGGAACGGCTGAAACACTGAGTAATCAGATTACTCCTTCTGCTTTCACTGTTGCGCTGATGATCTGCTGCATTTGGTAACTGTGCTGATTGTCTACACTAGAGGCCCATCTCTAGGCTCTGGTTATCAATAATTTAGCGGGTGCTCTCTGAGTCTCATGAAAAAAGGTGACAAGGAATGCAACATCACTTCAGGATCATCACAAGTTTCATCATTCAAAAATCACACACGTTCTCTCTGGTTTACTGAAGAAAAGTTTGAGGTCTGCAGAAAGTTCTAAATGTCGCTGCTCGTATTTTATCCAAAACTGGGAAATGTTTAGTCCAGCAGCGCCATCCCTTCACTGGTTGCCTGGTCCGGTCCCAGCAGACTTTCAGGTCTTACTGCTCACCTTCCAGACTCTGAAATGGTGCCTTCACATCAGTCTGGTCTAATACAACTGTACGTTTCATCTCCATGTTCTCTGATCTCAATCTCTTTTAGAAATCCCTAAAGCCAGAAGAACAACATTTGGAGAGTATGCATTTTCCTTTCATTCCCATCTTTGTGGAATGCTGTCCCTCCAGGCACAAGGCAGCCATGTTCTGTGGAGGTTTCTGAAGCAAACCTAAAGATCCACTTGTTTTCTTTGTCTTATGAGTCTTAATTTTGTACCTATAGTTGTTTCAGCACTTTGTGTGAAAGTCCTTTATGACTAAAGTTATAGTTATTATTAGGAAATGTGAGCCAAAATGAAACCACATTCCCCCCCAGAGAGTCCGTCTCCAACGTCCACCATGACAGTTGTTGGGTCATCTGGATTCAGGAACTCGCTTTCTGATTGGCTACTCGTCTCATTCAGCAGGCTGTGCACCCTGAACTCAGGCCTTTGGTGTAACTTTGGACTCATCAGGAAGAGCGCCACCTGCAGACTGAAGGTCCTCTGCTCAGACAGCAGCTGTTCTCTGAGATCAGTCAACTCTCACCGAATCAGACAACCGACGTTCACGTCCCAACAACAGATGCTGTGAAAACAGGTTAGTTTCCAACAGAACACTGATGATAAATCAGGTTAAAAAAAGTCAGACATTAACGAGCCTCCAGAGCCAAAACAGATCCTGTTCTCAGCAGAACTCTGCAAAGTCCACATTTGATCAGTTCCAGCTACACCAGTCACCTTGCTTAAAGGTTTGGAGAAAAGCTCCTGTCTGATCAGCAGACCAGCTGAGGACTGGAGAGTTCATCACTGATTGGTTTTAATTTTTCATTAAAGCCAAGCTGCCGGTGTAAAAGCAAAAGCAAAACTAGTTTTGCAAGAAACAGTTTTGCAAACATGGTGTAAGAGGAGCTTCAGACCACATGAAGGACGAAGGGTAAATGACATTTCCCAGCAGATTTCTCAGAAAAGCAACCCGTCTGCCTAAGGATGAGCCTTCTCTCCTTCAAGGTTTCACCTGAGCGCGGTGAAGAAAGACGGCTTGGGGAAGGTTCTGGTTCTGATGGCGGTGGGGACGTCAGTGTGAGGCCTCAGTCATGGCAGACATGTGATGTGGCGAGACCCGGCCCGCTCTGGGCCCCCTCTGGACCTGACCCGGACTGGACCTGACCCGCTCTGGGCTCGGCCCGGTCTGGGACCCCTCTGGGCCCGGCCCGCTTTGGGCCCCCTCTGGACCTGACCCGGACTGGACCTGACCCGCTCTGGGCCCGGCCCGGTCTGGGACCCCTCTGGGCCCGGCCACTCTGGGCCCGGCCCGGTCTGGACCTGACCCGGTCTGGGCCCTACCTGCTCTGGGCCCGACCCGCTCTGGGCCCCCTCTGGACCTGACCCGGTCTGGGCCCTACCTGGTCTGGGCCCCCTCTGGACCTGACCCGCTCTGGGCCCCCTCTGGGCCTGACCCGCTCTGGGCCCCCTCTGGACCTGACCTGCTCTGGGCCCCCTCTGGGCCCGGCCACTCTGGGCCCGGCCCGGTCTGGACCTGACCCGGTCTGGGCCCTACCCGCTCTGGGCCCGACCCGCTCTGGACCTGACCCGGTCTGGGCCCCCTCTGGGCCCGACCCGCTCTGGGCCCGGCCCGGTCTGGGATGTGCCATCAGCTGTTTTAACCGGCTCCCTCCAGCTGCCCAGTCGCCACATGCTGACTCAGCAGCAGTGAAGCTGTTGTGAAT